CCTCTCCTTCAATTTTTTTTTGAAAAGTTTGAGAAGGACATGTTTTAAATCTTTGAACATCTGGTTGAATGCACTGGTGAAGCCATTTGGTCCTGGACTTTTATTTTTGGGGAGGTTTTTTATGGTTGTTTCAACTTCCTCACTGTTGACCTATTTAGATTTTCCAGTTCTTCATGATTGAGTCTAGGAAGGTTATATATTTCTAGAAACTTACTCTCTCCATATTTTTGGGGAAGAGTTTGAGAAGGACAGGTTTTAAATCTTTGAACGTCTGGTAGAATGCACTGATGAAGCCATCTGGTCCTGGACTTTTATTTTTCGGGATGTTTTTTATGGTTGTTTCAACTTCCTCACTGTTGACCTGTCTATTTAGATTTTCCAGTTCTTCATGATTGAGTCTAGGAAGGTTATATATTTCTAGAAACTTATCCATTTCTTCTAGGTTATTGAATTTGGTGGCATAGTCCTTCATAGTATTCTAGTATGATGTCTGTGGTGATTTCTCTTTCACTTCTGATTTTGTTTATATGGGTTCTCTTCCCTGTTTCCTTAGTGAGTCTAGCCAGGGGTTTGTCAATTTTATTAATCTTTAGATATACATCACAATCAAGTGTGGTTCATTCCAGGGGCATAAGGATGGTCAACATATGCAAATCAATGTAATATACCACATTAACTAAAGAAAGGATAAAAATCATATGAGTTTATCAATAGATGCAGAAAAAGCACTTAAAATACAATATCCATTTATGATTAAATCACTAAACACAAAAGGGATAGAAGAAAAGTACCTAACATAATAAAGGCCACATATGATAAACTTTTAGGTAATATTATGCTCAATGGTGAAAGACTGAAATCTTTTCCTCTAAAATCAGAAACAAGACAAGGATGCCCAATCTCATCACTCTTATTCTGGAAGTCCTAGACAACAATAAGGTAAGAGAAAGAAATTAAAGGCATCCAAACTGGAAAGTAAGAAGTAAAAATATCAATTTTTTTCAGATGACAATACTTGTACATAAAAACCCTAAAGATACTATCAAAAAACTGTTAGAAACAAACACAGTAACCACTAAACATAAAAGGGATAGAAGGAAAGTACCTAACATAATAAAGGCCATATATGATAAACTTTCAGGCAATATTATACTCAATGGTGAAAGACTGAAATCTTTTCCTCTAAAATCAGAAACAAGACAAGGATGCCCAATCTCATCGCTCTTATTCTGGAAGTCCTAGCCAGAGCAATAAGGTAAGAGAAAGAAATTAAAGGCATCCAAACTGGAAAGTAAGAAGTAAAAATATCAATTTTTTTCAGATGACAATACTTGTACATAAAAACCCTAAAGATACTATCAAAAAACTGTTAGAAACAAACACAGTAAAGTTGCAGGATACAAAATCAATGTACAAAAATCCTCTGCCCTCCTGTGTACTAAAAACAAAACTTCAGAAAAAGAAATAAAAAGCATTTATTTTGCAATTGCAATCAATAGAATAAAATACCTAGGAATGAACTTAATAAAGAATGTGAAAGACCTATATACTGAAAATTACAAAGCATTATTAAGAGATTGAAAAAGATATAACAAAATGGAAAAATATCCCATGTTCATGGATTGGAAGAATCAACATAGTTAAAATGGCACATTACCCAAAGCAATAAACACATTTAATGCAATCCCCATTAAAATCCCAATGAATCTAAGAGTCAAGTGAATAAATAATCTGATGAACAGAATGAACTGGTGATTATAATAGAATCAGGGACCTAGAAAGGGAATGGACTGACTATTCTTGTGGGGGCGAAAGGGGTGTGGGGGATGTGGGAAGAGACTGGACAAAAATTGTGCACCTATGCATGAGGACAGTGGGTGGGGAGTGAGGGCAGAGGGTGGGGTGGAAACTGGGTGGAAGGGAGCTATGGGGGGAAAGAGGGGGGAACAACTGTAATAATCTGAGCAATAAAGATTTATTTTTAAAAAATAAAACT